CCCCAAAACCCCAAAACCCCAAAACCCCTAAGAGAGAAGATAAAGCTTACTGTGAAATAATGTAGAACAATGTATATTATTAAAATATATAATTTTGATCCCTATTATGTTTGCTGTTGAACAAGAAAATCACTTATTGAGATAACTCCTGCGATTAGGGTTCTCCTTTTTTATTAGTATGTTACTGCCTTGTGTTTGCTAGATGCTTGTTCTAGCTCCAATTTATTTGGCTTTACTATTTATAGGGTTGCTGGAATTGACTCCTGCTATTTCATTAGTCCTATGCTTACGAAGCCGCTGAACCATGTCTTTCATCTTTGAGAAGTCATCATTTCTAAGAATATCTTTCTTCCAAATTCGCTACTTACGCAATGATTTATCAGCTGAGTCACTATTAATAAGATTCTGCAGGACGTTTTTATCTGCCTAGGAAACTCCTCCTGTCCCATTTTAGGATAGCAATTTATCCTCGAAAAAATCATAGTCATCGTCAAAGTCATCCTCCTCACAATCATCTTCCTCATTGAAATCCTCCTCGTCTGCTGTTTCCCCATTTTAGGTTGAGTTTATCTTACTTGGCTTTCTCTTCTCTCTAAGCTTTTAACGCTTGCTCTTTAGATCCTATATATATTAATCGAGCAATCCTTAAAGACTGTCAGGTGGAGGAGTCGAAGAATTGTGAAACGGTTCTACTGCTATATCTCTATGCTTAACTAGCCATTAATAGTCTCTCTCAGTTTCAGGTGTTATTTTTACATGATGATTATCTGCTTAGCACCCTTTCTATTCAATGTGAGTATTTATTCTGAGAGCCTAGGCTCCACAGCATGGATATGTCCCTTTATTACTCCCATATTGAAATTTCGGTTTTTGACTCTGGTTTACAATACTAGGGTGATAGCGACAATAGGATAATTCACTTCCAACAAATTTAGATTCACATTTTACACACTCAAAGCTTACTAGTCTCGCCCAAATTTTCCAATAAATGTCCTTCCACTTCACTTACTTTTAGTTATTCATGAACTAAATGAACCCATTGAGATCGTAAAATCTATCTGCAACATGCTGTGCTATGACATGCCCGTGAAAATCTATGAATATCTTAGCATTGGGGCACATCATCCACTGGTTCTGCTCATTTGTAAATAATTGGCCACAATAAATGCATCTATTAAGAGCAGTCTAACTCTAATTTTGACTGTCCACTGAGTTAGTTAGGCTCTACAACTTTTTCATGAAAAGCTTGCTTGTCAGCTTATCCCTTTTATCTATTAAATCATCGAGTCTCTCTATAGTTACCTAATTAGCGATCTTTTTTATTAAGCTTTAGTTCAGGCAGTTCATATCTATAGGCAGTCTCACAACATCATGCAGATTTTCTATCACAAAATCCACGCACTCTTGAACCAAGACTTTCATCTAGAGAAAGTCACTCGAGATTAGAATAGAAATCACATTTTTTATATCTAAAGTTGGAGCCCCTTGCTGAGGAGGTAGTTAAGGGGGCAATTTCTAGTCTTGTAAATTTACAAGATCCTGAGGTTATTGATCAGGAGTTTACTATGGTAACCTCTCATAATCTCGAGAGTAATCTCTTTAATTAAAGTCTCTAGAGAAATCCCTCTGATGCTCTCTCATCTTCAAATACTTCATTAACCACTCGAAAATCTTGATATCACAATGTACACTTATATCTATATCATCGACAGAAGTAGCCTCAGTTAAATATTTCTCGAAATATTTCATGTGAGTTACAAGGAGATCTTTTTCACAAGTGAAGTCTTTATTCACTTTTCTATTTTCATCAAAAACATGAATCACAATAATCTCTTGCTATTTCTTTAACTGATTTTGATTGGAAGATTAATTATTTTGAGATCCCTATGCTTCTCCAGGACCATAATGATTCCCATTCTATTGCTGCCCTGCATTCATCCCATTCATCTTTTAAGTGTTTTGCGAATTATTAGTGTTAGTTTGTGTAATTAATGTCTGTCCCTTCTGCGGAGATTAATTGCTACTTTTCTAATTATTTGCTAAATTAGTGAGGGCAGCCTTTTGATAGCTGAAACCATTAAGTATATTAGTAGTTTACGGTTGCATCATTCCATTGATCGGATTTTGGTTATTAGCAACTGAATTTGAATTAGTTATTTGCAATTATCACCGCTAGCTTTCATTGCTTTTGACAGCTGGTCTCTGCACTGACTTACTCTGATGAATAATACTTCCTGTAGGATTACTTTTAGGGGGCTCTATTACTTTACCAGGTTAAATTTAACTTTGTTATTTGGTGTAGGACGTCTGCATTATCAGATTTGCAGCACCTGCTCCAGTATTCGCTCCATTCCCATTTCCGAGAATAGCATTATTGAGTGCATTATTACCAGAATTAAGACTGCCTCTTCCAGCGTAGGTATTGCTCTGGACTATACATATATGATTAATCTCTTGAAATTACTATAAAGCATACTCTGGGTCATGAGTCCCTGGTAGGACTGCTTGCTTGAGCCATTAACAATTGCAGATGAGTAAGATGGATCTCTCTTTTGCTGAAAGCTTTTCATATTCATATTAAATTTATTTCAACACAATATAATTTATACTTATTATTTTATTGTCTATAAAGAATTTCTTTTTGCCTGATGGGGTTTTGGGGTTTTGGGGTTTTGGGGTTTTGGGG